TTTTTTTTTTTTTTTTTTTTTAATCAAAACAGAAAAACATGAAACCCCCATCTATTTTGGGGGGCAGCAGTGCGGTTGCTTATCACCGGCAGGCATAGTCGGGGGGGCAGAATCGGGAGATTAGATAGCAGAGGAAGCCTTAGAGGTGGACCCCACCGGACGGCGGCTGGAAAACCCGCGAGGCCATTAAAACTGGCTCACCGTCGTTGGAACGTGTTTGGCAGATTTTGTTGGCACCCCACCGCGACTGCAAACTTTGTCACTGGAAACGGCCGCACTTGCCCAAATAGGGAAACTTGAAAGGCCAGGTCCAAAATAGGAAAGTTCGGTAGGGGCACCGGTCCATGGCCTTCCGTTGCAGCGGCAACGCAGGTCCAAAAAATGGTCCCCTCCACCGCTGCATGGATCATGCCGTCTGGCACTCCGATGCCATCGGAGAACATGCCCCCCCCCCCTACTCTGCTGGGGGCCATGTTTGGAAAAGGAATGCTGCGATCTGGCAGCGATTTTTCCAGACCGCCGACCATGTAGAAACGCCCCGTCAGCATTTCGGCAGCCCCTTTCCATCACCGGTCGGGTCTGGAAAACCTTTCCAAAGAGGCTTTCCACACCTTTTTCCATCACTGGTGGGGTCTCCAAAACGATCGGGCGCTTTTTTTTTCCAAGCCACCGTCCGGTGGGGTCCACCTCTTACCCTCGGGGCTCGAGTCGGCTTTCGAGCGGCGGCATTTTAGGTTTTAGGATTTGAGCTCAGATTTCGGAACTGGACTTTGGAAAACGTGTTCGGGGATTAAGGCAAGCCAGGGTTACAAGGGACTTGGAAATCTGGAACGGGAAACACACGTACCTGGTACCGACGAGCTGATCCTGCATGGAAAAGAGAAACGATATTAGTATTTATCCACAGAGTATGTTCTACCAAACATCTCGGAGTTAATGTTTTCCCTCCTGATGAGGCTGGCCCTGGCTCCGGCCGAAACCGGTCGAGGGTAGCCAGACTGTCGTTCGCCCACGGGCGGTAGGTTGCCATAGCTTAGACTATGGCGATACTCTTGTAGAGTAATACTCTTGTGTTTCTTCTTCCTATCTGCGTAGAGTAATACTCTTGGGTTTTCTTCTTCCTACTCGTAGAAGTATCTTAATTTCGAGCCTTTTCACATTTTGGCATGTCGTAATGCACGCTACGTGCCTGTGTTTGCGTACTGCCGATTCAGCCCGTGCTGACGTAGGTGCTCTCGCTCTCCATTCCAATCGGTAAAGGCAGTGGCGACCGGCCAGGAGGCGTACACCTGGTTCGGTGACCCTGCAGTACTAGGTATCTACTCATAGGTAATTAGATTAACGAGCGACATAAGTGAAGGACATGCGGATTAGTAAGGAAGATACGGCGGACCAGACCTGGAGATGAACGGGAACGGAGGGAATGGCGGCTTCGGCTTTGGTACTGGACCACTCGGTCCCCCCCAGGGAGGAGGAGGGGGATGGAACGGGGGACAAGGAAGTCAAGGAGGTTGGAACGGAAATGGAGGCGGGAGTTGGAATAATGGGAACGGTGGAGGATCAGGTGGAAGGAACAATGGTAACGGAGGATTAGGCTGGAATAATGGTAACGGGGGAAATTGGAACAATGGAGGAGGAAATTGGAACAACGGGAATGGAGGAGGCAACAATAACGAAAATGGAGGAGGATGGAATAACGGAGGAGGATGGCAACGAAGAGGACCTAAGTAGTACAACTGCGGCCAATTCGGGCACATAGCTCGTGAATGCCAAGCACCACGTCTAAACAACCAAGGACCGCAAGGATCACATCAGCAGATGAATGAAGCTTCTAGTAGCTTGAATGCTTGTGCTGATGCAAAGCCAGCGGTGCTGAGTAAAGAGGTGGAGGACTCTCTGAAGTGTATGGCGGTTTACGTTAAGAGACAAATGGAGAAAGAGGAGGAAGAACGACAACGAGCTAAGGAGGAGGTTGAAAGGAGAAAGAAAACCGAGGAGGAAAAAGCAGCGAGAGAAGAAGCGAATAGACTAGCGTTAGAAAGAAAGAAGGAGAAGGACCTTAAGATAGCAAAGAGAAACTGGGAGATTGAAAAGATTCTCGCTAAACAAAAAGAAACGATGGAGGAGGAGTTTGAGAAGAGACTGGAAAATCGGTTGAAAGGGGTGATGATTACGGAAAGGATAGTTAAAGCGAAGGCAAAACAAAGCACGCCACTACCCGAATCATCGGATTCGAAAGAAGATGAAGAAGAGACACAAGAAGATAGATTAGAAAAGAGGAAAAGACAGTAGGGACAAACGTCTGGGGGACAAGCCAGCCCAGTCGGCACTCCCGCGAAGATAGGAAGGTCGACTCTAACTGATGACCCACCTGCACAAATGATGGAGGAACCTACCGATATGCAAGCTCCGAGAGCAAGAGGAAGACCTCGGAAAGATGGGATTGGATTCCCTGTCTACGAATCATCTCTCTGGGAAGGCGCCCCTGTTGATGTCGACAACAAGACTGAGGCGGCCTTTAAGAAGCAAGTAAGGAAGTTCCTAACGAAGAAAAGCGTGCCGACGATCCAAGAAATGTGTAGAGAAGCAGGAATGGCTTATCGTGGACGTCCCGAAGCAGTCGATGAGCTGGTGGAACTCAAGGCAATGTACTTCTTCAGACAACACCAACCACGCACACCCCGCCAAGGCGGAATCGTGATCCGTGAACCTGCGAGTGCTACAAGAGCACCAAGGACTCCACCGATCCTGAACGCGCACCAACATCCGTCTGACGATTGATGTTTGGAGCGACCTGCAATTCTATCTAAATCTGAGGAACCAACTTGCCTCAAGTACCGCTGTTGGTATTAAATATCTTAGAATTAACATCGAGAAGATTCTTAGATTATGCATTGTTATCCTTGTAAGTAGAGGGGAAATCCAATGGGGATCTAAATATCTTGCTAATTGGTTCCAATTTATCGAGAACGATATTGATAAATGGGATAATCCTTATTCATGTGTATATGTTCTACTAGATCCAAGATGCCGCGCCTCGTACATAGGGCAAACTTCTAGAACCCTGTACGAAAGATGGAGTGAGCATGTTTATCGTACTAATAATGTTAATTCGGCCAATAACTCTAAATTATATAGCTGACTTCGTAATTGGGGATGTAAAAACTATGTTGCCCTACCAATTGCCTTCGTTCCTGTTTCAGACCTAAAAAGTCTGGAAACAGTGCTTATAAGAAGATGGTCACCCTCGTTGAATTCTATCGGTCATAAACGGACTTCAAGAAAGGGTAATTGTAAGGGTGGAAAAGAACGTAAGAAATCTAGATGTTCCCATTTTTCGGACGAACGGCCTTTAGTATTTAAGACAGGGGCATTGGAATCCGTTAATCTAATTAGCATTTGTAAAACTGCTATGGAAGGAGATGGGAAAGTTTCATCATCAGGCGAGAGAAGGTTAACAACAGTCGTATTTTTCATCACCACTTCAGGACACCCTTCACCACTTCAGGATGCAGCCTGCCTAAACAAGTGGTTTTCAGGGTCTTCGGACCTTTCACCACTTCAGGACCATTCAGGTATGAAAATCCTGAATTGTCCTGATGTGGTGAAAGCTCCGAAGACCTTGAAAACCACCTGTTTAGGCAGGCTGCATCCTCAAGTGGTGAAGGGTGGTTTTCATGGTCTTCGGACCTTTCACCACTTCAGGACCATTCATGATTTTCAGACTGCCCAAAACTCTCACTTGACCACTTCAGGGCACCCTTCACCACTTCAGGATGCAGCTTGCCTACACAGGTGGTTTTCAGGGTCTTCGGACCTTTCACCACTTCAGGACCATTCAGGATTTTTAGATTGCCCAAAACTCTCACTTCAGAATTTTCATTCCTGAATTTTCAGCTACCCGATAACCGCTTGTGCATCAGGCGGAAAGATCTGGATACCTGACTGGAAGGTGGTTCTACGAGAAATCGGACTGAGTACTTTCCTTTTTGACGGTAATATCGTCCCCTTGATTACCCTCAAGAGTAACCTAGAAGAGGGAGTTAGCCTAACCCTTCACCAACTGAAAGGTGGAACTCTTTCCAAACGGAACAAGGAATTAAAAGGTAGCCTTCACAAGCTACTAAAAAATCCTTGGGCCAAGAATAATTTCTATAAATTATCGTTGGAGGAATTATGTGAGTTATTTCTGGCGACAAAACTGTTCCTCGAAAGCCATCTGCCGTAATAATCTACGAGGTAGTATAGGAGGAATCTTGTGGAATAAATTTGGTATTGGGCCAAGAAGAATT